AGCGTCTAGACTGCATGCGGAACTTTCGAAAGAGCAAGCCGCTTTTTCAAAAGAAAGCACCCAGTGAGTCTGGATGCTCTCTTTCGAAGAAGCCCTATTTACATTCAAGAATGCCTTCTTTCGAAAGAAGCACTTTCGAAAGAAGGCGTTCTTCCTCGTGAAATGAGGTTTACCGCCGTCGAAAGAAAAGCCGCGTTTTCGATTTAATTTAGAAAGAACGCGGCTGCAGTCTAGACGCAGGTGAAGTTTTTTCGGAAAAAGGCTACTTTTCCCGAAAAAACCCCTGAGTCTGGACACAGCCTAGGTGTGCTGGGGGCAAGGCCAGGCTGGTGGTTTGGGAAGCCAATGCCTTCCCCTGCCTAGCATACCAGCTGCCCATGTGAGTAGTCCAATGTTCTACTGTCTCTTGGGCAGATCATCTGATCTCTGTGTCTTGGTTTTTCCTTCTACAGAAAGAGGGTAAATGGCTTATCCACCTGTATGAAGTGTTTTCAGACCCTGGGATGAAAGATACTGTAAACATACACAATTATTAGTATTTGGTGGTCTGAGCACAAAGCTGGAAACAATGAACTCCTATTGTCTTAGATTGACAATAGGCATGCTTATGTTTCATTATTCAAAGAACCAGCTTGGTACTTTACCAGTGAACAAGTCCTGGGCGTATGGATGATTGATAAGAATAGACCTCGGTCTCTCCATGCAGGAGTTCAAATACTTCAATTACTAGCTTCCATAAAAGTGCTGACTTTTTAGACAGTACTGTGGGTGGCATCATACTACAGCAGTCTAACCATAAATGCAGTGCAGGATGGTAGGATGGGGAGAATATCCTTGGTACAGGTTGAACCTCTCTAATTTGGCATCCTCAGGACTCTGACCAGTTCCGAACCAAAGAATTTTCTGGATCCCGGGAAGTCAATATTGTCAACACTTCTACTGCTTACTGGGATGTTACAGGACATTTAGGGGTAAATTAGAGCTTAATAACATCAGAGAACACTGAGAGCCAAGATTGGTGGCTGTACACAAACTTTATGGGACCACGGAAAAGTTGGCTGCACCCATGATAAGTAGACATGCAGCTAATTAAAATCATGCTGGATGACTGATGTTTCTGAACCAGAGAGGTTCACCTGTATTGATTTAATAAAGCTTGCCATAAAAGTCTGCCGCAATGCTCCCTCTTCAGGAAGTGCCGGTAGTCTGATACTTACTGACCTTTCTTTCTTTAGCAAGAGTTTAAGCAACGCATATACAGCCGGTCCCCGAGTTGTGAATGGTCGACTTACGACCATTTGCAGTTATGACCAAAGCTGTCGTAAATGGTGGACCCCGAGTTACGAACACGATCCGCGCTTACGAACAGCGCAGTTGTGTGTAACTCTATGGGGTCTGACTTACGAACAAACCTAGTTATGACCAATTGCTTGGTCTGTAAGCAGTTCGTAAGTCGGGAAGAGGCTATATTGGCAAAACTTTGCTCAGAATAAAATGAAAGAGAAATGTCAGCAAATGGCTCCAGCCAAGAAGTACTATGAAGATTACCACGTTCAGCTATGTGCCAAAATGATGCAGGCTAGGACCAGGGAAGAAAGGGTGCGTGAGTGTGCTTTTTTCCCTTGTTCTACTAGGGAGAAGACTCCAGTATTGAGTGAGCATCTTTCCCCCTTTACTGTGTGGTGTGTATTTATATTTGTGAGAAATCAAAGTTTTTTGGTGCAAAATGTTAGAGGCCAACTAAGCTAAACAGCACAGGCCATGAAGATCCAAGCTCCTTCCTTCTAAGTGTGGCTCTGTTAGTTTTTCTGGCAGCAACCATCCTGGAGCCAAGAGCTTCTAAACATCCACATGGTCTACTCTTGGAAGAAAGCATACGTAAGACTATCTGCTGGATAGTCATGTCCTAATTGAAATGATTGTTCTCTAGAAGGACTGCCACACATTAGAGCAGCCACCTCCCACCTAAACAAAAGCTACAATGAACTTTCACTGTTGGGCAACAAAAGCTACTGGGCTTAGCCAAGGTGGGACCGTAGGGTCCAACTTAGTAAGGGGGAAGGGAGGGGAGGGGAGCGTGGGGAGGACAGTACAGAACAGCAGAGGGAACTATTTGGGGAAAGGAGCTCTCTTCACCATTAGCTCGCAAAGATGAGTTTGGAGAATGTTTCTATTGGTATCAAAAGTAAGGCGCCCTTAACTTTCCTTTTGAAAAATGATTAAAAATGAAACCCCTCAATCAGTTAGATCCTTTTTAATGTTACAAAACCTACTTTATCTTTTTTACTGTTGTACATGCATCAGCTATGTGGGAGGAAGCTGAATTCTAATTCTACTCATGCATCAATTCATTATAAATTGCATCAATGAGATTTAGGTTGGACATTAGGAAAACCTTTCTGTCCAAGGGGTTAAGCACTGGGGAGGCTGTGGAATCGGAGTACAGATTTTAAAGAGCAGGTTAGACAAGCACCTGTCAGAAATGGTTTAGAAAACTTAGTCCTGTCATTTACTGCATGGGACTGGATTAGGTGACCTCTCGAGGTCCTTTTCAGTCCTATGATTCTATCACGTTGAGGACCAATGCTGCCCTCAGTTATTTTAACTTGATGAGCGCAAAGATGATAGAGTTGTAACAGGAGTGGTGATCTAAGGTGAGAACTGTGCTTCAGGTTGCATGGAGGAGTAAGATCATCTATGTAAACAGCAAATATTGAGTCTGATTGGGCCTCAAAGATCTACATGAGCCCAAACTTGATTTGGTCCCTATCCTATGCCATGTCTCATGTTTACTCCTATGTATGACTAAGGCTTGTTCCATTAAACTATTTCCAACCACTATATCCACCTCATTTTCAGAGAAGATTTCATTGTGCATACACAAAAACAATAAAAAACCCCACCCCTTACATTTGTACATGCAGACTGGATAACTGCATTTCCGCATTATCCAATCTACACATACAAAGGCCTTTTTTGTGGGTACATCTACTAGTCCATCATTTAAAAATTGGGCTCCAGAACAAACCATGACCATGCAAAGCCAAATTACTAAACAAACATTCACTGATTAAAGCACAAGGCTGACAGAGAATATTAAACACTATTTTACCAGGATAGAATTCCCCATCATTGTTCTGTCCAGATGCCGGTTTCTCACTAGTTGAATTAGTGGCTGCTGTGGATCTAAAAAGGAAATATACAAAAATAGACATGACTAAGGAACCATCCTTGAAAATAAAAAAAGTAAGAATTGTTTAATTTGGCACCACTCCTTTATTACCCTTTTAAATTAATAGAAGTTTTGCTATTGACCTCAGTAAGAGCAAAAACAAACCCCAACGTCCAGAGTTATCCCCCTTGTCTTCTACTATATGTCTATTTGATTTTAACCCTGCATCTGTAGGCATTCAAATCCCAGCCTGACATTCCCCATTTCTAGCAGCTGGCCCATTTCCATTTTGAATATTTCCTCATCCTGTTATTTGGGTCTGCTGCAAGTAGCTGCAAGCATCTGGGCATTTCTTCATTATCTGGGGCTATGTTTACACTACAGAGATACCACCAGTATCCCAGAAAAAATCTGCTGCATCCAGGGAACACGTCCGCTTTTTTGGATCAGTTTCTGAAAAAGTGGGTGCATTCTTTAGGAAGCCCTGTATTCCTCCTTCCATTTTATGAGGAATAAAGTCTCTTCTGAAAGAGGAGGTTTTTCCCACATTTGGTCCCGTGTAGACAGGCCAAATGTCAGAAAAAACTCTTCCAAAAAAAGAATCGGAAAAAGGTATGCAGTGGAGATATAGCCTGAGCTACAAGTACAAATGCTGTTTTTGTGGGTGCGTCTACTATTCCATACTGTTTTCTAGCTGAGAGAATAAGATACATATGTACGGTGAAACATAAGCCTCCAGCATTTCAATCAGAAACATTTTATCACTTCCAAAAAAAAAGCCATCTTACCCAGACATCTCCACAGAAGGATGTT